CTTTCCGGCCAACTTATTCGACATTCGCCGCTGTTTTTCCAGAGGATTATGGCTGTAGCTGGATATGGATTCCGGATTGGAGTGGCCAGTGAGCTCTGATATCTCCACTGGGTCGAAATCATCACTGAGCGCTTGGATGACAGTTTTGCGACCACTCGAATTTGTGAATTTGCCGTCTAGTGTTTTTTGAAACCATGTTGTATCTAAAAGAGGCCAGTTCGTCGTCTGTATAGGCTACAATGGTTTGGATTTCGGGAAAAGATGCTTGACCTTTTTCGGCATTGATACCTGTTTTGGTTTTCTTTCGTAACGCTTGTTTGGTTTTCCTCGGCGAGAACTGTCGTTTGGCTTTCTTCCCTCGTCTCTGGCATTTTGATTTTTTTCTATGCGTTTTCTCGTACTTTTGAGCGTGAGTGGTTTCCTCCAATCTTCTGAAAATTTCAATTTCAATTCAAAATTTGGAAGACATTCGTTTTCTATAAATTTGTTCATATTTGTTCATATTTTCATAGGACTAGTTGTATTTACGTTCTTACATTCGTAACAATTATTGCTCGCGACTCACATCAGCGATATCGCTTTATGCGTTAGTGTGATTCCACGCTAAATACCCTCTCTTCCGGCTGACGTATTGACCAATCAGAGCGCGTGTTTACTTTAAGCTATGCGATTCTATAGTATATCATATACATTGGCAATTTCACCTTTGATCACGCAAGAAGTTGGCTCAGTTTCGGTATAATGCATTAGGTGGAAACCCCTTTTATTATCTAGTTTCTCGGAAAAACCTTAATAGTTTTCTGGCTTTCGATTTAATCAATCGCTGTTGTCAAAAGACCTTAGTTCAGTAATGAATTTTCAGAGAATTACACTTAGGCAAAACTATGCCGCGTTTGGGCAAATAAGCGAAGTATAAGAAACCAGCCGGGTAAGCCGGTGGGGTGAGGGAGCAAATAATCGACTGATCTTTCTTAGAAACTGCACTTCAAGCATAGTATGAAAATATGTGATCATGTGAAAACCGGTTATTCCGGTTCTTGACTTGCACTTGGGGGTTAACCCCAATATATTTTTAATCAAGGTTCATTTATCTTCTTGTCTGTTGCGTTCAACTAGTACCTATCTTGCTTGCGCGATGTCAAAAAAGATGAATACGCTTTGGTTTTTCATGCTGAGTATACATATTGTATTGAACATTTGTCCTGAAGTGTGTGGAAGAACAGCGCAACTCCTTCTTAGTATTAATCCTGAAGGGAAATCTTGCACGTTAAATCGGAGTTTCATGGGAGAAATCGAGAAACTCCCAGCACCTATTACTGTTAAAACTATGATCGGTGATGCTGGGGTTGGTAAATCGCTGACATGGAACACATTAAACTACATCTGGACTGGAAAGAATCGATCTTCCGTCGAGCAAGTTTTTCAAACCGGCGACAGTCTCGCGCGTGTTACGCGAGGAGTGTGGGCGTATGTCACACAACGCGAGAACGGAACTGATATTTTACTGGAAGTAGAAACGGGCGATCTGTTCGACAAAATACTTGTGGCACATATTTACATGTTTGCAGCAACGATTTCATCCGGCCTGATAGTTTTGACCCGCGATTACGTTAAAGACAGCGATCTGCAGCCTTTGAATCACATGGCGCGTGTTAATGAGTATGCTTTTCCCAGTACTAACTGTAACAATTTTCCAGCGGTTAGTTTTGTGGTGAGAGGTGACTTCGGAAGGAAAAGAGCGGGTGGAAGTGGAGACTCTACGAGAAGTTCAGTGTTGGAGAGGTTTACTTCAAAGTGCTTCCCAAGAAGCAAAGTTACCGTCAGCCAGATTTCACACGTCATCGATCGTGAAGTTTTCACGGACTTTGGAAAATTGTCTCAAAGTAACTTTATGATTTCAATGGAAAATCTCGCCGCAAAAGTGGAGAATTTTCCCATTAAGAGAAACCTCGAAGGAATCCCTATGGAGGGTGACGAAATTACAAAACTCATTGAGCGATTAGCAGAGACCATAGACGCAGATAGCTGGCTTGATCTTGCAGATGTTTATAAGAATATCGAAATCCGAAAGAGAATTACAGAAAAAGATCGAGAGATAGAAGTGGAAAGAGAGAAAAGGCAAATAGCTGACCAAGAGAAACAGGTTCTTCGCACAAAGGTCGCCGTCTACGAGCAGTTGTTGAAGGATGAAATTAAGCGAGGAGTATGGCTGCGCGCTTTAAGAGAAGTCATAACCGGTGACAATCCAGGTGGTGCAGAGTTGCTTTACAGCCAAAAAGTTCTCGATGAACTAAAGAATTTTAGGGAAGAGCTAAAACAAAATGTAAAACCTGCAGAAGAAACAATTTCCATTCAAAAACTATCAGAAACTTTTATAAAAATTTTAAGTCTGTGCAGTACTGTTTTGACATTAGCGCTTCAAATTAGGGGGATTTATCGCCAACCAGTCCCAAATCAGTGACATACGAAACGAAGTCTTTTTTTGTTTTCTAAAAAATGACTCCATTTTTTCATTAGAACTCTTCAAAAATTAGATTACAAATTCTTAAGCGTCTGTACAGTTAAAGATCACAGATGGCGTCGAAATGTGGTAAGAACGAAAAAATGGCTCACGAGTGTGTCAATCTGATTACAAAATTTCCTTATTTACCAAATCTCGACCAAAGTTCAAGCACGCTTGTTTGAATTAGCATGTCGTGGCAAACGAGTGGACCATTTGAGGTTAAATTCTGGTTTATTGCTTTGTATAAAGCAATTTTAAATAAATGTTTTTATATATCAAAATGTTTGTTCGATAGTGCTTCAGTAGAATTCCTTCCGGTCAATCTCTCTGAATAACAAACTGATTTTCAACGCTACAACCCTTTGGAGTGACTGCCTTCATAATTCTCCTTACGGATCACCCTTAAATCAAATATAAAGGACTTTGTTTTGGTGTTCTTTGGGTAACCCTCTGTGTCAGTTTTTTTAATATTTTTAGATTGTTTGCATTTTTTAGACAGACTGTGGCAGAGATGCGCACACTCCGATAGGTCAAACATCCCTTCACCCTGCGCAGATGTTAAATACGAAACTTTCGCGTCGAGATATCCCATTTAATTCAGCATCTGATTTCAGCTTTTTACTCTCAGTATAACTTTTTATCACTCAATTCCAACTTTTGTTTTACTCAATTTCAACTTTTTTCACTGTTTGGTAGTAACTGATATGTTCTCGGCCTATCTCATCCTCGGAAACCTAGGGGCTGAGTCGATTTCAAGTTAGGGCATAAAGAGCCCCTGGGGACATTGTCTTACAAGACTAGTTCCAAACGGTTGCTCATTGTCTTACAAGACTAGTTCCAAACGGTCGCAGTCGTTCTGCCATCTGATTGGTGCAAGAAAATTGTGTTTTTCTGCCCAATCAGAGTGCAGTGTGCTTTAATCCTTTSGTGTGTTTTAACACGGACATATACTAGTAGCTCAGTTGCTCACTATGTTTGTTTGGACCGTGCGACGGAGATTTGCTTGAGGTGAAAAGTTTCAGTCTTAGCACACAATGTAAGAGAAATCGATCAGATTGTCTGCGAAAATCTTACCGCAAATTATACTGAATACTTTCGCAGGTATCACTAGAGAACGCGTTAAAAAAGTTTGCGAGGTTTGTATACAACACGATGGTTGCAGTCATTGATATGTCGCTTTAAACGTTAAACGAGATTGAAGCTTAAATCTTTCTAGATTTTTTGCATAATTTGCTGTGACTGAAACTTTGCCAATCCCGTGAAGTTATTTCAGGATAATTTAGAAATTTCATGTGAATATAGCATATGCACAAGTAAACCCGATCTGTAGCTGTCAGTCTTCAATAGCAGTCCCGATAGTCGGTAGGCGAAAATTGACACTTCCACAAAGTGGTGTGGCCTTTTCAGTATTTAGTATTTTCTCTTATTTTCGCTTTAGCATACGGGAGATCTTGACTGAGAGACCGTTAATGCGCGGTCAACCTGGAACCTAGTCAAATCTCTCTCAACGGGTCGTCCCCATAGTCTTCTAACACCAACTCTTCACACATACTCAGTAAGGTACCCCGGGTAAGAGAATATTTGTAAAAATCCATTGAAAACAGCGAAGATGGACATAATCGACGATCTAGTCAAGTCGATGAGTTTACCCGGGGTACCGTAGTATGTGGGAAGAGTTGAGGGATTTT